TGTTAAACGAGGGCTGGCTGTATAACGCTCCACATTTACCCGCTCCGTCCTGCGGGAGAGCTCCCCATGGAGCTTACCCCTGTGCCTCTCCCCTGGTGCGGCCGGAATAAAAGCACTTACCTCCCTCACGGGGAGCCTGTGAGGAGCAAATCCTGCCTCGCCGCGAGGCGCTCAGCCCCTGAGGGCTTCCTAAGCACCCTAGAGAGCCAGGTTACCGCAGCAAACCCAATGCACGGACAACACGGCACTGCCAGGGGCCTGCGAGTGGTGCTGGAGAAGGGGCTGGATGGACACGGGGACAGACCCCCGGTGCTCGGCAGCGCGTGAACCCTCCCAAGGGCATGCTGTTAATGAAGGGCCCGCTTGTCTCCCCAGCCTCCGTGTGCCTGACGCTGCGGCCCTGCCTGAACGGGGGAAAGTGTATTGAGGACTGCATCACGGGGAATCCCTCCTACACCTGCTCTTGCCTAGCAGGCTTTACGGGAAAGAGGTGTCATATAGGTGAGTGCCGCCTCTGCCTTTGAGCCCTCATCTCTGTCCTTCTGCTTCGAGGGCCTCGCTGCAGTCTCTCCTGCCTGCGTCACCCCGGCAGTCTAGAGGAGGTAGCAGGGTCCATCTCTGTCTGCCTCGTTCATGCTTGCAGCGGGGTCACTTGCTGCCCATCTGTATTTTCCTTTGGCTGCTTCTTTCTCCACCAGGAGGAAAAAGGAAGCTCTCCCTGAGCTCCTATCCTCCCCTCACTGCTCTTTTTCAGATGTGGACGAGTGCCTCTCCCACCCATGTCAAAATGGAGCCACCTGCGTCAACAATGTCAACAGCTTCAGCTGCTCGTGCCCTCCGGGCTTCAAAGGTGCCAGCTGCGAGATTGGTGAGTGAAGGGCAGCCCTGCACAGAGCCATGGCAGAGGAGAGGAGCAGAGTGGGTCAGAGCAGGCTCTTCACTGCCCTTGAAGAGATCAGCATCCATCGTCCCAGCGGGCAGGAAGGGTGGGACTGCTGGGCGTCCTGGGTCTGGCTTGAGGCGTTGTGTTGCCTCCTACCTGTGGAGTCTGGGCCTGAAGGCATCTGGAGCCTGGGAAGATGTATCCAGCTGTGTGAGGAGGAGACATGCATACCTCGGTGCCTCCTCTTTGTAAGTGGGTGCTGTGCAAATGGATACAAGGGAAAAGCTCAGGGCTGTGATGCCAGGCACAGCTCCAGAGGCAGAGTAGAGAGGCAACCAGATGGCCTGTTCTCAGGTGCCTGGTATTCAAGGCGTCTGTGCCCCCCTCAGGAACACCTCTCTGCCGTGCCCAGTGTTGGTGCCTGTAGGTGGGGAGGAGAGAGCAGGATTTGTCTGGGCAGGCTGGGGAAGGGTAACCCTTGGACACTTTCTAAGAGTCCAGACTAACTGATGACAGCCAGATCCTCTCCCGCAGCCTTTCTGTCATGCGTAGTGGCCGGCTGCTGTGAGCGTCCATAGAAAAGGGTCTGCTTGCCATGGAAAGCCCCAGGCTGGGGGGTACTGCTGCCCTGGGGAGGCTCTTAGATCCCAGGGCTCATGCGGCCGGCGGGAGCTGTGCTGAGCGCTGCGACAGGCACCGAGCGCCGCAATCTTGGATTTCAACTTGCTGAAAGCAAAGGAAACTTTGCTCTGGCTGCGAGTGCTTCCTGCCGCTGGCAGCCTGCTCCATGGAGAGCTCATCTCGGCGTTGCTGCGGGAAACTCTCCCCGCCACCTCTCCCTTATTGAAACAAGCTGGCTGTTAGTACTTAAACAGAAGTCTCAGAGGCCCCGCTCTGAGCGAGGCTTTCACAGGTGACAGTTTGGTCCTGAGCCCTTTGAAGTCACTGGGAACTTTCCCAGGCTCCTTACAGCCTTGGGCCTAGCTCAGCTCCTGATGAGTCAGTGTTAATCCAGACAGCAACATCACCGGGGAAAAAAAGTCATCTACCCGGCCCTCACAACACTTCCCCACTCCTCTGGGCGTGGGGACGGCAGCAAGGGCTGATTTCCAAAGTACTCAGTGAGCACTCAGTGGAGCGGCAGCCAGATTTCCACAAGAGCAGATGGAAGTCTAGGTACCAAAAATTATGGGAGAGGAGAGGCAAGGGCAGCGTCTGTTAGCTCTGCTGCAGGGATTCCCAGGAGCTGCCTGAAAGCCCGCAGCCCAGGCCCGCGATGGCTCGCTTCCCCCACCATCGGCCTCCGCTCGCCGCCTGGAAGCGCTGCCAAGCGTTTGGCTCCCAGTGAGCCTCTCCTCTGGTGCAGAAGGAGTGCAGAGAGTTTACTTTTGGGGAAGGGAGGGAGAAACACCCAGTGTCTCACACTGGCATCCAAAAGGAGAAGCCGGATGAAAGGGCCGCGCTGTCCAAGGGAGGGTTCTTGTCCAGTTCGTGGTGCCAACTGTGCGCTGTGCCTGGCTCTTCCCACCTTGTGAGTCCCGAGCCAGGCTTTGCAGGAGCAAGGGCGACGGGGAGAACGTGCTGGGAAGGCGCAGAGTTTGCTGGAAAGAGCTCCGGGTCAGGACACGAGCGCTGTCCCCCATTGCAGTATGTTTTGGGCAGCTCACATTTGCTCCTTCCGCATCAAGCAGAGCGGGAGGCACAACACCTCTCCCCGCCTGCTCTCGGGGTCTCGGCTCGCAGTAGACTGGGTGTTGCAGCCTGAGCGTATGGCCTCGCTAGCAGAGGATGTTTTGTGCTGGTCCTGCACCTGGGTTTATTCCCCACTCTTTTCTTTGGTGTCCCACTGCAGAAGAGTCGCCGTGCGAAACCAAGGTGTGCCAGAACGGTGGGAAGTGCCAGCTGGCAAATGGGACGGCGGTGTGCTTGTGTCAGCTGGGATACACGGGAGAAGACTGTGAGACAGGTGGGTACCAGCGGGCAGGAGCAGGCGCCGGAGACAGGGTGACATCTCGTGCTTCTCGTGCTCCAGCAGCTTCACTGTCTGGCCTTGTTCCTCTACCCCCACCTGTAGTTTTGGGAGGGGAGACGTCTGCATCGCCGTTTACATGGCGCTGATTTTGCAGTGCCTCGCCTTCCCCCCTTCCCAGCCCAAAGCGCCATCCTCGTCTGCCACTGCTGACAAGTGGAGGGTCCTAGGGGAGAGAAGAGGTAGAGCTTACAGCCCACGGGCGAGGGTCAGAAGCAAAAGAGACGATGGCTGCCTGAGACGGACGTGATAAGAAGGACAGGGTGGTCTCTAGGAGCGAGGAGGACAGCATCTGGGAAAGGCAGGGCAACATCTAGGTGCCTCTGCAAGAGCGTTCAGGGTTGTTCACTTTGAGGCTGTGCTGCAAGAGAAGCAGGCTGGAAATCTAGTGCCTGGCAGATGATTTAAATTCCAGCAAGACTTAGGGGAACTGCGTGTCAACACCCTGCCCCAGCATGCTGACCAAGCAAGCAACAAAACAGTCCAGAGCTCCATATGGCTGCAGGCAGCTGTTGTTTCTAGACTGCTGGCTGGGTAGCGTGCAGAGCAGCGGGGAGGTTCAGCGATCCCCACGGTCCCTGCAGCGTGTGCAGGGAGGGGGAGGCATTCCCCTGGAACGGGGCTTTGGGCAGGTCCCTGGGAAAGCGCTCTTGTCCGGATATGTCCAGCAGTAACAGCCAGGACAGGAGCAGCCAGAGAGCTGGCGGCCGGCTGATCTTCGAGCGCGAGTCTGATCACCCCTTCCTGCCTTCCCTTGCAGAGGTGAACGAGTGTGAATCCAGCCCGTGCCTGAATGGAGGGCACTGTGTCGACCTGGTCGATAACTACACATGCGTGTGCCTGGAGCCCTTCGTGGGACAGCGCTGTGAAATAGGTGCTTGGTCCCTTCTGCTCCTGGGGGCAGCCCGTGGCAGGGGCTGAGGCTGCTTCTCCAGGGCCTCTCCGGCCCTCTTGGCCCTTGCAGCCGCTCTCTGGGGACCCAGCCTGCAGCCCGGCTCTGCTCACTGCTTTTTCCCTTTCAGATCCTTCCTCCTGCGAGGACCGGAGCTGCAGGAACCGGCAGACGTGCAACTACATCCGTCCGGGACGCTACATCTGCACGTGTTCCCCTGGTTATTACGGCAACAACTGCCAATATGGTGAGCAGAAGAGCACCTCATCGGCTAGCGTGGGCCAAAGCAGGTCGGCTGCAGGGTGTCAGGTCAGACCTGGCTCAGAGGCCCTGGGGTGTGCAGAAGAGGCATGAGGTTTCTTAAGGGAGGTGGTTGCAGTAAAGCTGGGCTTTGTGGCAGGAAGATACGAAGAGCCTGGACTTCTCCAGCTCAACCTCTTTTCTTCCGGCAGGTGGGCCCCGGGTGCCCAGTGCCTGCCTCTCCAACCCGTGCCAGAACGAGGGCAGCTGCCTGGAAATGGAGCAAGGCTACGTCTGTGAATGCCGGGAGGGCTACACTGGGCAGGACTGTCGTGACAGTGAGTACCTGAGGTCTCTCCAGTGGGTTGTCACGTCTCTAGGGAAGCCCTTCCAGTTGGGTTGGCGTGGTCTTAGCAAGATGTAGCCCCAGTAGAGCCTGTTCGGGGCTCCTGGGCTGAACAGTGGTGCATATCTCCCCGAAAAGGCTGCTAGCACAGCACCTCTTAACAAGGTAGCACCTGAACTTCTTGACGAGGCTCGTGGCTGCAGTTCATCTCAACTCCCCTCCGAGGCGACATCCAACGGTGTCACTCGGCTGCCCAGCCCCACAAATACAAGCCCAGCAGATGGGATCCTGGAGAGCTCCTTTCTCATTTCTTACAGAGCTGTCTGAGGGCTGTGAGTGCCGTAACGGGGGCAGCTGTCTGGAGGGCAATGTCACCATCTGCCAGTGCCCACCAGGGTATTTTGGTCTCCTCTGCGAATTCGGTAGGTGAAGACTTCTTGCTCAGTACTCAAATTTTCCGCGTTTGCTCCCTCTTCTGGAAGTTAAAGCCAGCCAGGCTCCAGGCAAGCACCGAATGGCTCAGCCTGTGCCTACAGCTAGCCCAGTGCCTCAGTGCCATGGGGTTGCTCTGAATCTGAGCCGCATACGCAAGTTGAGGCTGGGGAATATCGTCACAGGAGCACCTCCTCGCGTCGAGGAAACAACACCTCTGTCTCTGTTGCTCCACCTTGAGTTGTGCCTTCCCCAACTGCTCGACACAGCCTAGCTTCTCCCCATGGAGAAGGGAACTGTAGCCTTCACGCATGCTAGCTCCAGAGCTCTCTGTGCATCCAAAACAGCCCTTGCCATTTGCATGGGCTGCCAGGTGGGGATGCAGAGGGCCCTGGGGATGCAGAGGGCCCCAATCCCTCCCGCCACCTCTCCTGACTCTGCAGAGTTAAATTCCTGTTGCTGGTCTGTTTCTGGCCAGGAAGCACTGGCTGCTGCGTTGTTGTTCTGCTGAGCTTTAGCTAACAGAGGTGGGCTCTTGCTGTGTGTTCTTGCAGAAGTGACCGCCACACCGTGCAATGTGAACACGCAGTGTCCAGATGGCGGGTACTGCATGGAGTACGGCGGGAGCTACCTGTGCGTGTGCCACACTGACTACGGCACCAACCACAGTGAGTCTGCTCAGCAGGGACACAGCAGCGGCGGGGGGATGCGAAATCCGAGGGTAAGCACAAGGCTTACCCTGCACGAGGGGAAAGTGGCCGCAGGATCTGTGCTAAAGAGAAGGGTGTTGCAGGAGTGGCAGAGAAGAGGGCAGAGTTAAAGTCAGGGAAATCGGGGCTGGGATTTGCTGGGGGACATGAGTACTTCATTTTTAGCACTGACCGCAGCCCACCTCCATATCTGCACCCCCAGCAGCGTGGGCTGGTGGGAGTGCATGTTACTCAGGGGAGCAGCTCCCACACGCTGGTCGTACGTCCTCTGTGACACCCTGTGTCTGGCTTTGCAGCGATGCCCTCCCCCTGCGACTCGGAGCCCTGCCTGAATGGGGGGTCCTGCGAGGTTCATGACGACTCATACACCTGCGAGTGTCCTCGAGGCTTCCTCGGCAAGCACTGTGAGAAAGGTACCCCTGTTAGCGTGGGAGACTGCAGGTGGGTGGGAGGAGAGCTTGGCCACACGTCGGCATCCGTGGAAAACAAGTGACTGCACACCAAACTAAGGCTGGAAGAGGGTGCAAGTTGAGTAGTCTTATCTTGCCAAGTGGAGGGAGGATTGCCTGGCTCTTCTCAGGGGCCCCGATGGTTGCAGCAGCCAGTCCAGTTGCCTGTATTTCCCGTACCGTGGGTGGCTCTCCAGCCATTGATATT